TTTGTTTGTTTGTTTTCCCTCCTCACTGCCAAGGGACTTGGTGCCACTTCACAACGCCTGTTCCTATGGTCATTATGAAGTAACAGAACTTCTAGTAAAGGTTGGTCTTTAATTTAATTCCTTTTTTGAAATTAGGTAAGATTCTTCTATCATAAATCATTCCTATTTTTTTTTGTACTTAACATCAAGTTTTGGAGGTTCAGTTTAATATTAGGTGCGCTAACTCCATCCTCCTTTTCAGCATAAATTTAAGTTTGCCAGTTAGGTTACCAGTGTGCCCTGACAACTGGGAGTGCCAGACAGCAGATCATCACTCCCAGGCACAGGGTGCATTGGGAGCCCTACACTTCAGTGTGTCCCCATGGCTAGAAGTGCCAGTCGACTGGCATTCCCAGCCTCAGGAGTGCATGGGAGTCTTGAAGGGCTCCAGCGTGCTCCTGAAACTGCAAGCACTGATCGGTGTTGGATGTACACTTCAGTTTAAAGCAGAATGAGAACCAGTCACAAAGTTATTACAAAAAATATTTACAGTACTTTGTGTAGTAATTTTGTAGCTTATTTTCTGTTTTGTTGTGCCATTAATGGCATGAATGTATGGCTGTGTCTCAGCCGCCTGCGGAGGGTTCAGGATTGAGAGTGTGGTCGGGGGTAGAAAGGTAAGAAAGGTTTATTGACTTAACAAGCACACAACTACATGTAAATAACAAAACAAGCGCAGACAATAATAATTCACGTTGGCAACTTATCAGCAGTCCCCTCTGATGCCTGATGTAAGACAAGTTTCGCTTCTGCAAAGCTCAGTGAAGTCGGGCATCTCTGATCAGCGCTGTCTGAGGTGTACCGGGAAGGACCCTGGTACTCAGTCTTTGGGCTGCTTGAGATCCATGGGCCAACCAAATCCAGGCCAGCAACTAATCTTAAATCAGGAGCTTCTTTTACAGAGCTGCATCTTCCTTCTAAATGATTTCCGGATGTGCCAGCCAATTTATAACTTTTGAGCAGCCATCCAGATTCTCCCATTATAATTATTCTTAGGACTGACCAATAACAGGACAAGCCTTGCATTCTTCTGATAAGGTTAATTTTAACTATGCCACAAAGCTTACCACTACTTCTACAAGGCCTTGCTAAATTTACTAAGCCATACTACATCTTTGACTTTAATTAGGGTTTTAACAACAACGTATGCTTAATATCTGAACAAATGACAGAAAAACACTTGGTCTAATCTTCACATAGCCTTCAGCAAGCACCTTTATCACACAGACATAATTTTCAGTTGTCACAGGCTGAATTACTACTAACAACCTGATTAACTGATCTATAATAATTAATTAGTATAAGGTGGTCATGAACATAACATCTGCAAGGAGCCATATATAAGAATGGACTGCCACTTTAAAACTTGAGCAGTGTTTATCTTAAGGTTGTTAATGTGGCGGAAGAAAACATTTGGTTTTGCTTTCAAACTTACAGATGTGTCACAAGTGCTTTTAAGAAGAGTTCTTAGTTGGGCAGGGTTAAAAATATTGTAGAAATGCCAAGACAGTGTTTTTTAGTCTTCATGTATAAACATTTCTGGCAAAGCTTCCTTTTTTGTCATCCTTGATGGCTTATCATTCAATGCTTACTGATGTCACAGCTTGAATGCAGAAAGAGACAACTACATACCTCTAAAATCTTTGTGTTGGCACAGCTGTCTGCAAAAGGTTACAGGCTTGGGGCTTAAAGGCTGTGTTTTCTGTGGCATATACGTTTCTACTAATGAATGAAATTCCTTTGTTAATTCAGTTGCTGAAGTGTCTGACTTTGTGTAAACGGGTTGGGCTTTTTATGATTGTCTCTGAAGTTGGAAAATAATCTCTCAGAAGTTTGGTTATAAGCCTAAAATTAAATTTGTGTTCATTAAAGGTTATGCGCAGTTTGTTTTGCACTTAAATGCTCCAGCAGTGGAGACCCTGTAAGTACTGAAGATCTATATTTCTGAAAACAGATCTTGGAAACTATCTGTGCATATATGTATATAACAGTCACTTAACTATCTGCTATATTACAGTTAATGACTACAGTTTTTCTTTAATCGTCTGCCTTTACTTTTGTGTCTGTCCACCCCGCCCCAGCATGGAGCATGTGTGAATGCAATGGATCTGTGGCAGTTCACTCCTCTGCATGAAGCAGCTTCTAAGAATAGGGTGGAAGTATGTTCTCTTCTGTTAAGTTATGGTGCTGATCCAACACTATTGAACTGTCACAACAAAAGCACCATTGATTTGGCCCCGACACCCCAGTTAAAAGAACGATTGGCATGTGAGTATAAAGTGAACCTGAAACTGAATAGAATGGATTACATATCATAGCTCGTGTTCCATTTGTTTCTTTGCATTGCATATTTTATTTCACGAATGTGTATCACACCAGTATTAGGTTTGAAAGAATGTTCACGTTTTGCAAGTAACTGTCTAATGTTTGCCAGGAGACTTGTTTCCATTTAGTTTAAAAAAGAATAATAGTTTCAAGTGAAAACAGAGCAGTTCCTCCAGCCTTAAACGTATTTTTGTTCAGTTTTACAGTCCTTTTGCTAAAATGAAGTGTGGATTTTCTTCCCTGAAACTGGTTTTTCCCTGCAAACTCTCCCTATGATCTCTCCAAAACCTGTTCTCCTTAAGATCATTTCAGGATTTCTCCTGAATTGTTTCAGCAAGCTGCATTTGAACAAAAGAAAAAGATGAATTACTTTTTGCAGGGGTCAGCAATGTTTTTGGGCAGTGCGCTAAAAACACCTGCAACTTCAGCTTGTAAGGTGTTGGTATACTGGGGAGGATGGTAGGGGAGCTGCGAGGGGCCTGATCGTTGGGACAGTGCAGCCTCTGCCCCTTTTCCACCATTTGCTCAAGGCATGTGTGCACCTGCTGCCAGCAACATGCTGGGCCGGGGCTTTGCAGACTCCAATGCAGCTGCTTGCAGCTTCCCAGGTGCTTGCCACAGCTGGCCCAGGCTGCTTGTACCAGGCAGCAAGGAGGCTGCAAGCAGCTGCACTGGGGTCTGTGGTGCCCTGGCCTGGCTTGTTGCTGGTAAGTGGGTCCACACACCCCTTGAAGTGGACGACAGGAAAGAGACAGGAGCTCCTATTGCCACAACAAAGACCAGGCCCCTTGCAGCTCCTCTGCAATCTGCCCCAAGACACACATGCCAAGGGTTGCCTATCCATCACTTCAAATAAATTTATGCTGAAGATGTTAAGTGCTACTGTTGGTTGTTTTTATTTGAGTTCTGAAGTGATAAATTGAAGCAAGGATTCTATCGGGGATAATTAAGGAATTGTCCTTATGTCCTGTGAGACCCCTGGCAGACATTCAGTGTAAAGGATCTGATCTGTGATCCCGACAGTTATGCCTCCTATCACAGCACAGATGAATGGCAGGAAGCACAATTGGGGCTCAGATACCAAGTGCTCCCTAACCTTGGGCTCTTCCTGCGCTGGCAAGTACCAAGCTGGGGACTGGTGTTTCTATGGCTTGGAGTGTCAGTGAGCTGTTTGTTGCTCCCAGCTGCAGTAGCACACCAGAGTCTTGAAGGGCTTCAGTGCACTGCTAAGTCTGGGAGTAGCTACATGTTCAATATAAGGCTTGATGAGAACCAGCCTAGTTGTTATACATTTTGTGCAATAACTTTGTGGCTTATTTCCTGTTTTATCATACCATTAATTTCTTGTACATGAATGTGGCTGGGCTATTACTCAACACATGATTTACTAGTCAGTCATGTCTTAAGTGTAACATCTGTCAAAGGCCTGAGTGAACAAACAGTGATTTTTCTGGAAACTTAAAATTGCTGTGCTGTATCCATTTAATGGACATAGTCGTTCAGTTAACTTAGAAAAGTACTTCTAAGTTCTCTCCCGATCCCCGAAACAAGTATTTCCCATTCTGGAAGCTACCAGTCCTCTTGATTCCTTTCACACCAGTATTTAAAAATAAATCTTCTTTTCTAGATGAATTCAAAGGTCACTCACTACTACAGGCTGCACGAGAATCAGATGTAGCTCGTATCAAAAAGCATCTGTCTTTGGAGACAGTGAACTTCAAGCATCCTCAAACGCATGAGACAGCATTGGTAATATTTCAGATATGATTTTTTTTTTTTTCATTGATTTAAGATATTTTGTGGCTGACTGAAAAAGTAAGGGATACTTTAAAACTGTTGATCCCTGATTTTTTTTTTTTTGACCCCTTCAGGTAAAGGAGACTGGGGAATCTAGTATAAAATAAATAATCAGGACAGTAAATGTGTTCTTGTTTTAACATTGTTATTCCTGTCAGTTTTTACAGAATAACTCATTCCCATAATATCAGTGAATTTGAATCTAGTCTGCTTCTTTTTTCTAGGTTTCCTCCTTCACTGGTCATCTTCTCATTTCCTTCCATGAAATACTTAACATTTCAGTCTCTTGTTTTTGTATCACTTATCAGTCTTTTAGCTAAGATCCAGGTATAAGTGTGCATGTTTTTAAAGTTAAACTTTTCTTCACTTTTTGCCTCTCTTTCTAATCCTTTCAGGTGGCTTTAGTTGTTCTGTCACTTTAGAAGTTTGCATCACATTTTTATTTCATATACTCTTCAAATGTAATTGCTGAATTAAGGTAATAATGATAAACCCATTTCCAATAGAAGCTGCTGCAGTATAACAGTAGACATTCCCTATTCCTCATTTCATTCCTGACACGGGCAATCATCCTGACTTTTTTTTTTGTTTAGAACCCAGCCAGTTCTTGATCTAGGTGTAAAATATAAACATATTCGGAA